AGCATCTCTGATGGAGATTCACAAATCTTAAAATAAGTCCCCTACACTGTTGGAATGCATAGTCCTCTGGTGACCCTTATTTCTATCTGTCCTTTCCAGAGCTAGCAGATTTGCTTTACTTTTTGCTGTATTTAGATAGGTGAGGTTAGGAATCGCATTCTTAGTGAGTGTGCAAGATAGATTTGTCAGGTATGTTTTCTCTGTTACTATGTGTTCTTGTTGATTAAATGTCTGGTTTAGGCAGAAGAAGTTGGGTGAGATTAATTCAATTCATAGATCCTAAGAAGTGATCCCCTCTTTGGGTACCCAAAAATTAAAAAAAAAAAAAAGTAGTCCTTTTAGTAACTTTAGTCACTGAGTTTTCAGCTAAAATCTATTCATTTCACCTCATGAATAAATTGGGATTTTGCCTAAAAATTTGAATGCGAGAAATGAAAGTTATTTAGAAAAAGTAACAGAAAATAAATGCAGTCTTAAAATAAAATTCTCAGATATGAAATCCCTACAGCTCTCAACACTGAAGCAAGAACAAAAGAGAGATCCAATAGAGCTGAGTTTGCCCTGCACTGTCAGAACGGCTCATGTTAAGAAGAAATTAAACTTTTTTTAAACTTCTGAAGCAATCACTTAAAAAATTTTGTTTTAAGAATGAAAGAAGTATTTTTATCTCTATCCATACAGACAGTATTTGTATCTAAAAGTTAAAACCAAACCTGAGGTCTTTGTTAAAGGTCAAAAACAATCAAGGTCCCCAGTTTGTTCATCCAGAGCTGTTGTTTCCAGACAGTATCCTGTCTCCACACCTTTCCAGTGCCCCTGCAGAACAAGAGAATAATTTTTTTTAGAGAGGAAAATATAAAGAAAAGAAAAAAACCACCACAACCCACAAACACCAAAAATAACATAGAAAAGGAATATAACTTACTTTATAACTCCAGTACTTCTGTTCACAGACCAGTAGAGGCACATTGTCACTGTCTGACTCAGGTCCAACAACAATGCTCTCGATCCCCTCCCCCTCCCACCCAGGTAGAGAAGGAGAGAGAGAAAAAGAGAGAGACTTGGCTGGATTGAAAACTAAACTACACAGCTTTAATTAAAACACTAATGAATGATACAAGAAAATATATACAATGATATACAAATATGTTCAGATACAGGCAAAAGCCTCTCGCCTCCCCGCACCCCCAGCAACTCCCACAGTACTCCCCTCAGCTGGGAAGATGTCCTGAGGAATCCCAGAGCTGCTGCTGGAGAAAGCAGAGAGTGATGAGGGTCAGGAGAGCTCGAGCCTAAGGGCTGACGGTGATGGATAAAGAGAGTCCTTCCCTGATGCCGGCCATGGACGGAAGAGAAGGGAAGAAGAAGAAGAAGGAAGGAAGTTGTCTTCCCGTGATCTACTGACCTTCCTCTGAGCTTACGTAGATATATGGAAAGGAATATCTCTGGCCAATTTTGCTGTCTGTCTAACTCAGCCTCCTACGGGGTTGTCATAGTTCTCCCCATAGTGTCTGAGCCGGCAGAGTGAAGGTGCGGCCTTGAAGCCTCAGTAGTTAGAAAAACATTCCACTGTCTTATCAACCTAGCAGAACACACTGTTGCTAGTTAAAAGAAAGCTCACTGAAGGGGAAAAAAAATCAGCAAAAGGAAAATCGGCTTCATCCTGGCTCAAACTAGGACACACATGAACAAGTGGTCAAGAAACACTGTCACAGCGTGTACAAACAGAATCAGAAGTCACTTCAGAAGTAGTAATACTTCAAGTATTTTACATCTAAAGACTTAAAAAAGACTTCTTCAGCATGCATTTTATATGCCATATGCCAAGTTTCACAATGCATAACTATATAAAAAATTTAATATATAAATAGAGAGCTTAAATAGCTTTGCTTTTATGCTGAGTATTCAGGGCATGCCAGGAAACTCAGTTACATTTCTTTTCTAACCTCCAATTTTTCTCTTTATTATTAATTATTCACGTTTGGGAATGTTTGTCTAATCTACTTGGAATTCAGGGAATTATTCTACTTTGTTAAATTCTAAGAATGATGTGATCTTTTATGTCATTGTAGGAGAGAGACACCTCCATTGTGGGAATTCATTTACAACCACAACTTCATCTGTATCATGATGAAATACCAGCAGCGAAATAATTTGCTACTTCTCTTATCCTAAGGGTAGAAGCCTCCAGGGGTGCCACTGAAGTTTAACTAAGGGTAACAGAAAAAAAGCAGCAGGGTTTTGTTGCCTATACCCAGCCTGACTCAAGACAGCATCTTTTCTCACATATTCCAGAGGAATATACTATGATACTCTGTATAAGTTTACTTATTCCTAGAGATGAAAAATAATAGTATTTATATCCTTCATCCAGACTTTTAACTGTATTCTCTCCAGGCAGTGCTATAAGAGAAATTTCCCCTTTTTACATCAAGCTTTGGGAGTCATCATAGTTTGAGTAAGAGTCCACCTAAAATTTGTTGTCAGGTCTGTGCTGAGGGAAGAACAGGATAATAGTAGCCAGAGGAGGATTCAGGCACCTTTCATTCTGCATTCAGCCATGAAAAATCCTATGCCTGCTTTCAGAAAACATAACCCAGCTTCCAAAAGATGTAACCTGGCTTCCTTTTCACCTTTCAGAGGTGCATAAGTTTTGTTCCAGTGCACAGTTCTTTGTAGTAAGAGTTTAGGGGTTTTTTTTCATTTGCTCTTCAGCCTTACTTGCTGAAGTAACAAGAACTGTGGCTTGTCCCAGACAGACAACATCCAAGAAGAACTGCTATAAAGCCAAATGCTTTCTCCTAGCCTGAGTTTGAACTTTCTCTGCACATCAGTTGTTCTTTTCATTATGTCAGTGCAAACTTAGATGAAGTTACCTGGCTCTCCACAGCTTTGCTTTGCTTCTGGAATCCCAAAGTCTCCTCTCTGCCTCCCTTCAAGCTCTCTTGACCACATTTTCATGGAAAATCAGTCACATGTTGCTGTACGGAATGCCTTGAGTACTTGTGTGCCTTCAGGTGAAAATCTGAGAATCTGTGATGGGTTATGATGTGAGAAATAGTTAAGTAGCCAGTGAGTCCACCTTGGTCACCTCAAATAACTTTAAAAATAATGTTTGTTTTAGTTTTGACTGCCTTACTTTTTTCTTCTCTTTTTCCTCTCTACTACATAATACATAATACAATTCCTCATTCTTCTACCAAAGCTTACTTTCTCCCTTGGGACCACGCAAAACGATACATTCTCTTAAAAGGTAATTTGCTTGGGAGATTTGGGTGATTTAGTGCGTTCCTGGAGACAGCTCTGATTTTATGCAAAGTAACATTTTCATCAAACCATGCAGAATTAAGCACCATGCATATAATTTCCATTTTAGAACAAATATTTAAACCAATAGCAAAGCCAATGGGATCAGCTGTCACACTTAATAGAAGCAATTCTTTTTTTGTTGAGTCATTTTCTTTCCTCTGTTCCCTTTCCTAATCTTTAGGAGATTCTTAAAGCTAGTCTGGCCACTAAAAGGAGAACATGATCAGTGGCTTTTGTCAGTGAAGTGGACATACACATTTTCCAGTGAACGCCATGTGACTTCCTGACTTGCTTTTCTTACCACAACATCTCCTGGGCAGTCTATCTGCCTTATCATCTGCTTAAGGGATCAGAAAGATTGACAGAACAACACTTCTGAAGTTTCTCTCAGCATATAAGTTGATTGCAGGCATTAATCACAGCATAAACACCTTAGTCACTTTCCTCCCTGCAGCTAAAACAGGCTGGCATTGGCAGAGTGAAAGAATAAGACAAATCAGGAAAAACAGGATTGCTGGGGTCTAATTCAACCATCCCTGAAGTTAAAGGAAGATTTTTCACTGACATTAAAGGAGATGGATCTGCTGCTAAGGTCATACAGGCCATGGACAATATTTGAAGTTCTCTACAGAACAGCTTGTAGTATTTCTTAATTCAAACTCAGCTGAGATGTGAACAAACTGTGAAGAGAGTGGGAATGCAAATGAATTATTTTTCCTGTGTCTGTAGAGCAGTGCTACAAGTCTGGGTAGCCAACTAGGGAACTGGAAATTCTTACTGCTGAGAAGAAATAGGATATAACTGATACTGCAAAAACATGGTGGGATGCTTATGGGACTGGATTTTAAAACTAATTAGATAATACATGTTAACAAAAAAAAAAAAAAAAAAGTAGGTAAAAGAAGAGAGGGTAGCACTGTGGTAGATGATTATCTGTGTTAAAGCTATTGTTTGGAGAGAAAAGTTGTATTGTTCTTGGTGACTTCAGTTTTAAAGACTTACACTGGAGCTTGTCTGCAGTCTGTGGTAAAACATCATTAAAGTTTCTAAAAATGATAGATGATCATTATCTAACAAAAGTGATTGAACTTAGCATAAGGTAATTTTATTTTGAGCCTCATTACTTTGAATAAAGATGAACAGATCAGTGGATCTAATTACATTCATTATAGGAAAACAGAGGACAGTAATATATATACTTGGTACTTCAAAGAAGTGAATTTTACAATCCTGGAAAAAAATATAGGAGAAATAATTGATTAGGAAGAATAAATACAGACAGCAAATTGTGAAAGCAATTTGAAAGTTGTTTAACAAGAATTTATGAGATGTCTGGAAGCCACGATTCATAATTTAGAAATAGTATGCCCATGTGTTGTTAAAAGCCCTCCTACTTCAGGTATGAAGTGAATGTATAAAATAAAATAAAATAAAATAAAATAAAATAAAATAAAATAAAATAAAATAAAATAAAATAAAATAAAAATAAAATTAAATTAAAAAAATAAAATAAAATAAAATTTAAAAAAATGAGAAAGAGAGGATGAGAGTAATAATTGTAAATTATAAATTATGAAGCACAGCAAAGAGATATAGTAACACAAAAAACACTAGGAAAAAATGCATCTCCCAAGGATGGAGACCTGGCAGTTGTCCTTGTTGAACTTCATGAGGTTTGTGCACCTCTCAAGGCTGCCGAGCTTCCTCTGGATGGCCTCCTTTCCCCGCAGCATGTCAATTGCACCACACAGCTCGGTGTCATTGGTAAACTTGCTAAGGGTGCACTTGATCCCATCAGCCCTGTCACCAACAAAGATGTTGAACCAGTCCCAGTACCGATCTCTGAGGTAAATCCAAGACCTGTTTGTTAGCACTAGTGAACATGAACCCCAGAGACACAGTGAGTATGTAGCTGCCAGCATCCATTGTCCTCCTTGGTGCACAAAAGTGATTTTGAAAAAGCCATGAGGACACATGAATCAGTGATTCTGGGTTTGTAGAGGTGAGAACAGGTAAAATCAACTTAAGAGGTTTTCTAATGTAATATCACCGTTCTTTTCTCTGAGAACTCTCACTGAATATTGCAACTCTGATTTTCTACATTAGCAGCAGAAGGAGGTTCTAAATTTGTTCTAACTCTGAGAAAAGGTGCAGCTCTTCATAAATAGTCTCTGTAGACAGTCAGGAAGATACACTTATGTCATGGTTTGGGCCGAAGATTTGAGACAAAGGGCAGGGAGGTTTTCACTCACTGACTAAGGTCACAGGCAAACCAGGCTCAACTTAGGGAAAAACAATAATTAAATTTCACACTAATCAGATGCACACAGGACACAGACAACACAAAGAGCAGGGCTTACATACGTTACCCCCACTCCTCCCTTCTTCCCAAGCCCAAATTACTTTGTTCCAAATTTCTGTACCTGCTTCCCCCCAGCGGCACAGGGAAACTGGGGATGGGGTTTAGAGTTTGTTCAGAGTCTGGTGGTTCCTGCCACTCCTTCCTCCTCAGGGAGAAGGATTCCTCACAGTCCTCCCCTGCTTCCCCATGGGATCCCTCCCATGGGAGACAGTTCTTCATGAACCTCTTCAACATTAGTTCCTCCCACGAGGTGCAGTCCCTCAGGAGCAAGCTGCTCCAGCGCAGGCTTCCCACAGAGTCATGAGTTGCTCTGGGAATAGTCACCTGTCCTCAAATCTGTCTCGATGCTGCTAATGACTTACCTTAAAATAGGTGTCAGTTATACATTGAGGTGTCCTTTTTGTCCAAGCTTACACTTGGACAATTAACTATAGTTACTATTTTAAATGGATGTTAAAATGTATCTCATTAACATTTTAAAATCAGAATGCCCAGCAAGATTGCTCTTGGGAAACATAGCAAAAGGTACATCTGACATGATATTTTTATGCAATCGCTGTTATATAGGGAATTTCCAGAATATTGGGGATATCATTCCAGTGTTTAAAAAGCCATTTAATCCTGACTAGTGAAACCTGGCAATAATTCTGAGAAAAAGAATGTCATTATTAATACAGGTTATAATTGAGAGTGAATAAAAAGCTAGGAATATAGTTCATGTCAATCATTACTCTTTTGGAGAAAGAGTCCTTACAGTCCTTATTAAACACACTTGATATAAATATTTGATTAGATTGTAGGTAGGCAGTGAAAGATAAATAATATATTTAGACTTTTTAAAGGAGTTTTGACACATTAATACACAACATTCTGATTTAAAAATTAGTGCAACAATGGAATACATCTTAGATGGATTAACGACTGCATAAGTGACAGATCCCAAAAAAGTAACTATCAATGTGGATCTTTTATCAAATGAATGAGTTTCTAGTACAGTTAGGAGTTTACCTAGTAGAATAATTATCATCAGGTCCAGTATTAAGCAATGAAGTCAACAGTGTTCTGGAAGAAGATACAAAATAACCATTGATCACCGTGTGGCTGAGAAAGGAAAAAGACAGTGGAGATAAATAAGTAGCTTTGTTATCATGGCATGAGATTAAAGGATTTGTTATATTCCTTAATTTAGTGTGAATAGTTGCCCATCTTTGGAAGTGTTGAAGGACAAGTTGGATAGGATTTTGAGCAACCTGGTCTAGTAGGAGTTGTCCCTGCCCATACGGGGGGGTCAAATTATATGATCTTTAAGGTCCCCTCCAACCCAAACTATTCTATAATAAAATTATTCATAACACAGGCTTGCATTGGTTTGCAACAAGGTTTATTTTAAATGACAACAAATTCTGGACAGCATAATTAAATATCTTGTGAAAATGTACTGAAAAGCAGGGTTCTTGAATTTCTCTGCCTAACCTAAGTTCATGCAGGGAATCAAATACATAGTTGGGAAAATACTCTTAAATTAACTGTTCCAGTGGAGTAGCTACAGATGGTAAGAACGGCAGCTAATTCAGAGTCATGTCAGCATATTAGCATGTATTCTGCATACAGGAGAGCTGTATTAACTAAATAATTTTTAACTAAATCCTTCTTAATTTCTTAATGTCTTTTTCAGTCTGATTAAGTCTTAAGGTGAAATCTTTTTCTCTCTTTTATCATTATTTTTTACTCCATTTTATTTCATTGTCTTTTGGCATGTCTCAACTCTGACTATGATTAGATATTCTTTATTAATTACCTTTCAATCTGCTTTCTTTTTCAAAGTGTCATATTTCAAGTTAAAACAGCCTATGAAATTAAGCATTTTACTTGGGACCAAAAAGGTCTTCAAACTGAACATTAAGGATTTTTGATGTTTTCTCCAAGTGCTTGACTACACTCATTGATGCATTTTTCTAAACACATTTTATCCTTGGGGAGGTACTTGCCCTGAGGTTAAGAAGTGCCAAATGGTGATATGATAGCAGAAGGCCCAGGTTTTGCATTCTACAGTAATAGAAATACCTAGTATTTTTAAGCAGCCAGCCTTGATGGTGTGGGAAACACTCTCAATGCAGTTCAAATATTGCAGTCAAATTGATAACAGCAAAAATGTTGTAATGTCCATATGTAATTTGGAAATCCTGATCCACTTGTTTCAAACTGTTCTATCAAGACTAGTGAATGGGTTCTAGCTGGGAACGACCTTTCCTCACATGCTTTTTCCACCCTTGTCCTTGCCATTTCTTCAAAAGCTGATCACCAGTTCAGCCCACAGTCCCTCTTTCTTCAGCTACCTATGCCTAAGTCTACTTTGGATGTTTGACAAGGATCTCCACCCAGGCACAACCCTCTTCCATCCTTAGACTACGGAAAAAATACCCAAACTTGCAAACATTTTGAGAGGACAGGGAAGATGCAGGGTCCCTCCCTATACAGGGTAGATGGACTGGTGGCAAATAAAACAACTACTCAAGCTAAGCTATGATAGAGCACTGTTTCAAAAAC